CACTAAAACACTCTTCCAACCTTACGACCCTCTATCATGCAATACAGTATTTTGCTCTTATTTCTTTGTACCCATTGTGGGATTATGATCTTTCTAAGGGAAAGTACAATCTGTTGATTTAAACTATAAAATCCACTTAATTATTAATTTATTATTATAATAAAATTGATACACACAAAGAGAAAGAGATTGAACCAAATTTCCCACATAAATTCTTATTATTAACTTGGGCCTTGTGCAGAATATCCAAGGTTGATATCACCATGCACGAATGACGAATCTGCAGTGAACCCAGCCATTCATCAGGATTAATTGCCAAACCAATGGCAGTTGGTCAAACTACAAACCGCGCGCACAAAAAATGAATCATAATTTACAAATTAACCCAGATCAAACCGCACACAGTCGCAGACCATTTGGACCCCAACCCAGCAAGCCAACAAGCCGGTTTGTTCAATATTAATTATTGACTTTTGTTTATACTGTAGCTACAGTAGTCCGAACCAGTAAGGAGAAGAAGAAAGAGAATGAGAAGAAGAAGAAGAAGATAAAAGAACTGTCAAACCTGATAGTTAAACCCTATCAGTCAACCTCTTAATAGTGATTAGGCTTCTAATTAAATGTACAAGGACTAAACTGCCCCTACTTAAGTATGGGATAGAGAACCTCTAATAAGACTGCCACATAAGCTCATAACTTAACCAAGGTGAGTTGACTAATCTACCCTTATTCGGCTAAYTCTAACACTCCCCCTCAAGCTGGAGAATATATGTCATATAATCCCGGCTTGTTACATATATAGTTTACTCTCCCTGAGCATAAGGCTTTTGTAAACAAATCTGCCCACTGATCACCTGAGCTTACATATTCTGTGCTTATCTCTCCGGTAAGAACCTTCTCCCTCACAAAGTGGCAATCAATCTCTATGTGCTTTGTTCTCTCATGAAAAACAGGGTTGGATGAGATATGGAGCGCAACTTGATTGTCACAGTACAACTTCATAGATTTATCCATATAGAACCCGATTTCTTGTAGGARATTCCTCAACCACACTAATTCACATGTAGTGTGTGCCATGGCTCTGTACTCGGCTTCARCACTGYTTCTAGCCACAACCGCCTGCTTTTTACTCTTCCACGTCACAAGATTTCCTCCAAGAAATGTGCAGTAACCTGTAGTAGATCTTCTATCAGACACAGAGCCCGCCCAATCTGCATCCGTGTACCCAACTACTTCAAGTTTTCCTCCTGGTTTATACAATAGCTCACGGCCCGGAGCTTCCTTCAAATATCTTACAATTTTAAGAACTGCATCCCAGTGAGATATACGAGGGTTCTGCATAAATTGGCTCACTACACTGACTGCAAAGGAGATGTATGGTCTCGTGATAGTCAAATAGTTCAGCTTTCCCACTAGTCGTCTATACCTTCCAGGATCATCAAATATTTCCCCTGTATCACTGCTGAACTTAACATTTGGTTCCATAGGAGTCTCAGCCGGTTTTGCACCTAACAGTCCTGTTTCGTCCAATAGATC